ATTTATTTTAGGATTTTAAATGAGAAATTATTTTCCTTCAGCTAGATTATTTAGTTAGCCTCGAGTTGACAATATACTCAGAAAAGCTTTCCCTGGTACTTCACATCACATTAGTTCCTGGTAAAGGATCTCACAGCACCTTCTACTACTTTACACTTGCTACACTTATATTTATTACCTATGTCATTTATTCCTTTAACAAACATTGTGGCATCAAAGCTGAGATCTAAGAAGCCATTCCAGTAAAAAGAAGAACAGGTAATAATATAAAGATAGGAACATCCTTGGCCTGTCTGAAGAAGAGATGAGAATAGGTGGAATGCGACAATGGAGAAAGTAGAAGTAGGGCCCAAAGAAGCAAGGAGAAACCAAATCACATCCTAACTTGTGGGTAAGTCTAGGTTTTATTTTAAGTACAACCGTTTGTAATTATCTATTTCAAACCTGACTTCTTTTCTAGGCAAATGCTTTGTCACTAAGCTACATCCACAGCCCACTGATTTCTAAACAGCAAGTTCTGTAAGGACAAGCTTCAAATAGCAGAGTAGTGGAGCATCATAGCGTCACATCTGTTTTCCCTCTTCTTACTTTTTTTTTGGTGGGGGAGGTGGTAGAAACAGGGTCCTACTATGTAGTTTAGGCTGGTCTTGAACCCACTATGTAGACCAGGCTAGACTTGAAATCACAGGATCCTCCTGCCTCAGCTTTGCAAGCAAGTGCTGGGTCATGCTCACCATGCCTGGCACTTTTTTTTTTTTAATTATCACCAGCATTTATCACAATAGTTAGCATATAATATGTGCCAAAATATCTACTAGAATTAATGACTATAAAGAGATCACATTAATTTTGCATATAAAAATATGAAATCTCAAGTAATTCTGACTATGTTAAAGAAATACTAATGAGACAGAATCAATAGTATTTTCTCTGCAAGAAAATATACATTTAATATATATGAATATGTATAAATACATAAATTTATATGTATTTATTATTTATAATACTTATACATATTTTATATACTTATATATTAGTGTTCTAAATACAGTAATACAGAATAATAATCTTGAAACTGTAAGGACACGTTTTGAATCAAATTTCCCCACCCCCTTTCCTGTAGTACTTCCTTCATATGACAAGCCAGTTCCCCAACTGCTATTGCAAAAACAGGGAGTAGAAAAGGTGGTGTTATCTCCCACTGGAGTAACTCTACAATTCGGTGCAACTTCAGCCATTTAAATCCATTTTCTAATATTTTGGTAAACTGGCTGAAGGATGCTTTCCTTCCAAGCTGACTAGGTTTTCCTAAATTTCAACAGTTTTCCTCAATTCATTTTGAATGATTAATCTATAAAAGAAATAAGCAATAAAGGATAAATAGCTGCTGTTAGTTAAAAGGTAATATTTTAGTAGTCTACAAATTCTACAAAATTTAGAATAAAGAAAACTATTCCTTAAGGAGTTTCCAGTATAGAAAAAGGTCAAATTAACAAAGCAGAGACTAAAGATGAAAAATAAATACTAGAAGACTATTCAGATCAGCCAGCAAAGGTGGAAGGAAAAATAAGACCTAAATAAGATAACAGAGGGTTAGCAGATGAGGTTTTTGAAGAATGAGATGACTTTTGCCAAGTAAGCCAAGGGATGCAGGAAAATGAAAAACTGTGTAGAATAAAATGTATTTGATTGGAGAAGTACTAGCAAAAAAAATTACAGGATTTTTATGGCTAAAAGAGACCTTAAAAGATTCTTTCTAAAAATCCTCTTAATTCCAAGATGGAAAAAGAAGACTCAGAAAAACTAAACAAGTTTTACACAGCTAATGAGTAGCAATTTGGCAAAGAATTCAGTTCGTCTAATTCTTTTTCATCGAGCATGCTGGGGACACTGAACCAGGTACCCTTAAAGAATTAAAAAAGAATTTTAACTAAGTTTCCCTACCTTCAATGACCTTAGAATATTGCTGAGATAGTATGATACAAAAAGAAAGTAAAAAAATAAAGGATGTAAATATTTTTAAATAGCAAATTATTCACTACAAAAATGCATTAGACATCTAGGACCAGGATTTCAATATCTAAAAGGAAGACTATGAACAAAACAAAAAAGGAACCACACTGGGCAGTGTGCCTATAGTCCCTACTATTCAGGAGGCTGAAGCAGGAGAACTGCTTGAGCCCAGAAATTTGAGGTCTCCTTGTGATCAAAACAGCTAGATTGTTCCCTTAAAAAAAAAGCAAATCTTTATTGTTAAAGAAGTAGTTGAAGGAAAATGGACTTAATAACTTGTGTTTAGAGTAGCACGCAATGTAAAGGAAGAAACTAGGGAGGAACTAATATTTTCAAAAGAAAAAATACACTGCTTTTACACAGCCATGAAAATAAAAGGGCAGATGGCAAATCAAGTAGCTCATGTTTACAAAATTACTTCAAATTACAAAAGGCCCAATTACCATACATAACTAACAGGCTGCACAAGTTCCAAGTGTAAGAAGTTCACAAGGCAGGTTTGGCTCACTGATCTCTACCAACAAACCACTGATGGAGCTGTGCTTATAAAAACAAAAACACAGAAGGAAAGAATTCTATTTTCCAGAGAGCTGTGAACTATGACATATCTTTGTTTTTCTTTTAGGAGGCAGTTCTGGTTTGGTTTTCAATCTTATTACCAATCAACTTGCTCTAAAATCCATAAAACTATGTCCAGAGATGGATAAACTATTCACAAAGGTATTACCAGCAGAAGTCCTGCTTGTCAACCAGAGAGCCTGTGTAGTTACAAGCTCTCATTCACCATTTTACTCTTAAGATGCTGTCCTGGCTTGGCTGCCTCCAGTTTCAACCACAAGTACTTTACCAAAATATCGTTCAAACCAAGAACAGTATTTTAAAGTCAACGACACCCTTCATCCCACCAGTACTGTAACCCAGAACCCTGAGATAGTTATATACAAAGATCCAAAATCACTAACTGAATAACAATGATTAGGTACAATGACTTGTTAGCAGATCTTTAAAAATCTGTTATGGAAAGCTTTCTGCTTCAACACAACAAAAGCTAGTAATGGTTTACATTCTCTATAATTTTACAAAAAAAAAAAAAAACTTACAGGCCAGGAATTAAAAATAGCTTTACACAAACAAGAGCAAAATTGTAGGTTTGCTGAGGCCATCAGCCACTTAATTTAACCCCACTTCATCTAGAGCAGGAAGCCACACTGCTGTTTTTATCAGAGTTACTAAGAAACAAGATAAAGGCCAGACTGAGGGAGAAAAATCTATACCTGAAATTAATATTTTGATGCAATTATTGAGAATTCTGTCACTAATAGACAAGAAAAAGCATTGTAGGGCAAGCAGGGTGTCTTAGCACACACCTATAATCCCAGATACTTGGAAGGCTGAGAGGGGAGGATCACAAATTCGATGCCAGCCTGGGCAAATTATCAGAACATCGTGACAAAATAAAAAGGTCTGAGGATGTAGCTCAGTGTTTCCGGGTTCAATCCCCAGCATCGCAAGAAAAGATTGCATCTAGGAATACTTTAAAATGAGTCTATCTAAAGCCGAACTGTGGTCAACTGGAGAAAAGACTCACTGGAGATTGAGGTTGTTTTTTCCTCCTTTCCTTCCCAGCCCCTCGCCCCAAACAGGAAAGAAAGCGCGCCCAGCACAAACACAGGCTATTGCTCAAGGTTCGTCAACACAACAAACTGGAGGTTAGACCAGCGCTCCTGGAGACGAAGCCTTACGTCTCGGTTGCTAGGCACAAAATGGGCTTCTTCTCTGCCGACCTGAAATGGTGTGGGTCTCACACAAGTTTTGGTTCTCTTTGTTGTCGTTGTTGTTGTTAATAAAGCTTTCCAAGGGACGACAGGCAGAAAAAGTTTGTGTTTGCGCCAGACCTCTAGATGTGGCTTGCAGAGATACATATTAGGTGGGCTGGTCCCACGGTTCTCCACCATCATTACAAATTACAAAGCTAACGATTACAGAGCGTCCGGGGAGAGGACAGCAGCGCTTCCACACCCATCCCACCACCATCGTCTTCTCCAGGCACCGCTTCCCGACCCAAACAACACAAATAATCCCACCGGTACCACGCCAGTCAGCACAGGTGTGAAACAGACAAGCACAAGCCTCGCCTCGGGAACCTGCCCCAGAAGCCCTGGGGAAACCCGGCCCGGGAGAAGACGCAAGGCGGCCCCTGTCACTTGAGGACGACAACACGCCCGGGAGAGAAGTGGCAGGGGGAGTTGCCCCGCAAACAAGCAGCCCGCTTCCCGGGAACGCAATCCCTCTCCGCGGCCGCACACTCGGCCCGGGTGCCG